CGCCCATCACTTCGTCTTGGCGACAATCCCCTTGAGACTCACGACCAGTAATTTTATTTTCCAAATGAACAGTTGCGGTTATAGTCCTTATGTGACATCCTCTCTGACGAGAGGATTGGTCTGTCGTTTACAATTGTTCCTGGTACTGGCCAGCGCAGTCATTTTCTGGTCCGAGCCGCGGGGGCATCATGACCACATTTTACTGTCTGAGATTCAAGTCTCCGCCAAACTGGAGGGCCCCCAATATAATACGAGCCTCATGGCCGTTATATAAACTCGGCATAGATCAAACAGAAAGCAGCGCGTTGTCTAGCAATGGCCCGACAGTTCCTCTATTGTTGTGTGTGCATCCGTTGCCGCGGAAAATCTTTACCATCCCGTTGCCTAGGAACGGACGGATTGGTTGTTAAACTATACCGTCGTCATGCCACAATAAAAGGTTGTGTGAACTGCAGTGGTTCGATGTCTGTACGATACTTCAAGCATAAAATTAATTTGGAATGTCACTGTGAAAGCAAACACGATGGTATAATATCAGAAGTCCCTACAGAAACTGCACAAGAAACATACTGAGATTATGGTCTCCTGGGATGTGAAGCCGTGTTGCTCGATAGATGGATACCAACCTATTGAACCTGCCGCCTCCATCTTCAGAGAAGAAGAAATTGCGGTACGTGGCTTTGTAACTACATGACGTCACATTTCAGAAGCCGTAATAACAATAACCACTGCCGTGACAACCAAAAACCTCATAAAAATTTACCTTCTTGCTGACATAGTGGTATTTCTGATAGAATCTGAATTCGCATCCGCCATGGGATGGCCTCCCAATAAAAACAAAGTACAATCGACTGAAATAACTTCAAAGTGAACCAAGCTGCAATCTCGTCTGTGCCCCTTCTTTAGCCATTAAAGAAACAAAAGGAAGAGAAAGCGGATGGACGTTGACATTGCTGGGAAACATCAACAGACCGGGGATTAAGACAACAATAACGATTATTCTGGTCGGCCAGATGGAGGTCAACACATCCAAACTTGCAATGTCTCGAATCCCTTTCAAGTAAGATCTTAAAGCTTACCCAGGACTTCACATGTGAAGCAGCGCCACACCACGCAGCTGTTGCGCACCAACCAAATGTCGAACCTCCGTGACGCACAGAGGGAAGGATCGGCCTCTGTTGTAGCAGCAGAAAGACACTTGCGCGCTCCAGCATATTGCTGGAACCTGATAAAGGGCAACTCGACGGAGCAGAATTCTTCTGGAGTGTCTAGACAGCTACTCAGCTAACCAAGAAATTCCCCTACCTTTAATGACCTCGAAGGTTCATTATCATGTTCAGGAGCGGGACAGTTCATTTGGTATAGCGATAAGCTACAGGCTGGAGGGCCGGTGTTCAATCCCCGGCAGGGACAAAGACATTTTTATCTATCTCACAGCGTCGAGACTGGCTCTGGGGCATCATATCCAATGGGTACTTGAAACCCTTTCTCCGAGGGTACAGCGGCCGGGACGTGAAGCTGACTACACACCTCCACCTATTGCCGAGGTCAAGAATGGTGGAGCTATATATCCAACGGCATACGTCTTTATGCCGTGGGGCTTAATTCATTATTTTACCTTTTACTTTCATGATGTTCATAAGGACTCATCACTGAACCAGATGAACATAGTGGTATTTCGTGAATACTTTATTCGAGAAAACGTATATTTAAATATATTTATTAAGTTTTGCTGCTCTGAAATTTCTGTTTTAAGTAGAGGAAGCGGTTGTCATTTCGGTGCCATAACCTTAAGAAAATGTCAGCCAAAATTTCTGACCGAAAATTTTCTTTCTTTAAAATTTCTAATCACGAACAAGATCACTCAGTTCTCCTCGATATATTGAGGTTCTGTCAATGTAATTCAAATAATGGCTCGACAATATACACATTTCCCGCTACTAGAAAACATTGAGCCTCCCCACAACTTTCTACATTTGTATAATTTTCATCAAGTACACCACATTTTTCCAGCGGCCCTGGTACAAGAAATCTTCATCGTCTAACATATGCCTCATGACTGAGCGTAAATCTAGATACTGTACGTGTGCTTAATCTCTCCAATAATCTCTAGTATATTTGTAAACAGAAACGATAGTCCTCCAAGTGGTAATGCAACTCTCTCCATATTATCGTAATACTGAAAGCCATTTGCTTGACCGATTTTGCAACCTGTCGAAGTCCTTATTAAATAAGATCTAAAATTTTGTGGCGATGATATATTAATACAATTACTGTTTTCCTGGGCATTATCTATCGTCCTCCTTTTGTTTAAAACACGACGTTTCGGAGACTGGATTACATCTCCATCTTCAGGTGGAACCTATTCAGCTGGGGCCCAATCGAGAGGAACCAGCTCTACGGATTGGGCACAGAATCCAGTCTCCGAAACGTCGTGTTTTAAATTAAAACAAGACGATGGATAATGTCCAGCTACACAGCAGCTGTAAGAGATAAACACTTAGGATTGCCGGATTGGGGCTTTGTATATCCCTCGGTATTCTAAAGAACACATTGCTTGGGAAATTGGACCTCTTTCCGTCCTCAGGTGAGGGAGTACCAGGCACCTATTCTGCCTGGTTTGTTAGAAAGAGATAACCTCAATCACTGAACCTCTAGCTCTTTCTAACAGACCTGATAAAGTCTCTCTCCCCCCCCCCCCCACCTCCCCAAGTGAACGGAAACAGATCAAGTTTCAGTAAAGTTATGTCCTTCACAATCCCAGACGATTAAAAGTCGAAAAATCTCGCAATCCTTACTGTTATACACAACCGTCAGAGCCCTTTAAAATTTTAGAGAACAAAAATATCTCCCAAGTCTTGTCCTCATGCCCTGTATTATAACCAAAACAGAGTTCGTGTGCTTGATTAAAGAGAAGAGTGAAATTTACTCTTTCAGATTTAAATGACAACTCTCCGCACACAACATAAACTGTCTGGATGGTTTACTCACTTTGGGCGGCATGCTGGTATAAAAAAATACGCAAGCATTCACACGCACAAAAGCGAAGCATTCACCACGAAGCGGCTCTATATCCATTCAGACAAAAACAGGAATAAAATGCAAGAGTGTCACTGAGCGAAATCAAGTAACTGTCTGCCAACTGAAAACCAATATGTAAGATGTATGACAGAACTGAACAAGTAGGATCATTTCCTGAACATGAACGTGGAAGCAGTGGCGTGCGGAACTCCATATAGCAGAGGAGGAGCAGACAGTAGACGTCTCCCTCTTCCAATCATGCCTAAATCGTAAATGTAGATTCTAAAGGATTTTGACGGCGTATAACACACATAATTAATGGGGTTTTGGACTCTGTTCATCGTCCGGTGTTCTAAAAACAAGAGAACATGACGTTTCGGGAACTGGATGTGTTTCTGTCCTCAGGTGAGGTGGGAAGGTACCTACCCTGGTGAGTTAAATTTGTGGCCAAAGTAGTTACTTTTCTGACGACCATAACATCCAGAAAATGATTCTCACTGTCTTGACTCTATTTTAACAGTTGACCAGATGGAAGGCCTTGTGCTTTTGGGGTGGCTGAGGAAATTCTGTAACGGCTCTGGGCCATGAGACCAGACCAGAAATATGTCAAGATACCTGAGCCAGAGCGATGGTTTGTGTTGTACCGAGTCAAGAGCCAGTTTCTCAGAATTCTCCGCGTATATGCTGCTAATGATGGGTGGCAGAGAGTTTCCCACAGTCATGCCACTTTTCTGTTGGAAGAACTTATTGTCCACCTGAAAATATGTGGTTCTCAAACAAACTTCCAGCAGCTCCGTGATGGCTTCGACCTGCAAGACATAATGTTCCGACAGCATTTCATCGTTATGGAGCTTATTTCTGATGACTTGAAGGGTTTCATCGACTGGCATATTAGTGAAAAGACTAAAAAGATCGAAGTAAAAGAGGGTACCAGAAGATCGAAGATTTACAGACTTCGACGACTCTACGAAGTGCCCCGAATTCTTTACGAAGGATTCTGATTCTCCGACAAGAGGACTGAGTATCTTATGGAAAAAACCAGCCGGGTCATAACAAGGGGAACCCATGGAACTCACTATAGGCTTGAGAGTGACGTCAGGTGTATGAACCTTGGGCAGACCATGTAGAGGTCTGCTGTAGCATGGAGTCAACTAATATTTTAGAACTATAGGAAGAGCAGTTTTATGTTTAGAAAGGAGTTTCTGCACGTTCCTCTTAATCTCAGCAGTAGGATCTTTGGGACATTCATAAGCTCCGGACTCTAACAAAGTGTACAACTTATCCTTATATTTGGATTCATCCAATATCACCGTGCAGTTGCTTTGTCTGACTGAAGAGTCATAATGTCTCTATTACGCCTCAACGATTTCACACCTCTGAACTGATTTTTAGTCGTGTTAGTCCTGGACTAACATTGACTTGATCTGCCAGCTGAATTACATGCTCAGAGTCTGTGGAAGTCTGGAAGCAACGTATTCCATAGCACATGCCATGTCTAGGTTTGAGTGTGGATTCATTATAGAAAATTTCAAAACCTTCATAAGGACTGCTTCCTCAGATTCTTTAAAAACTCACCCGCTCAACCACGGAGCTGAGCTCTTCTCGAGAAGCCGCCAGTTGTGCAGCCACTGAAGAAATTCCCAGCATTTTATGGAACCAGAAGGTTCATTACCGCGCTCACAAGAGCCCCCCACTGGTCCCTATCCTGAGCCAGACCGATCCAGTCCAAACCATCCCATCCTATCTCTCTAAGATCCATTTTAATGTTGTCCACCCACTTACGTACGTCTGTAAAAACATGTCTGGAAATAGTAAGGATAAATTTCTTGCAATCCAAAGCTGGGGTTGACGAGACTCTGTTTCCTTGATTATTGAGAAGAGAGAACTTATGAATAACAATCGCTTTCTATGGTAAAAACTGATGGCTAAATCTATAACAGCAGCAACATGTAATTATTATGCTCTTTTCAGTAGCTTACCCTTCTTGTCCACGTGATTGTAGGAACAGGGTTGCCAGATGCTCGGCATTCCAAAGTGACGGCTGATCCCTTTTTTACCTCCATTGCGCCTCTGCGTGTTCCATCAGATGATACGAAGTCGATTCGGGGCGGTACTGCAACAAAATGGCCACTATTCATGACACAAGTCGCACTTCATTTTGTTACTCTCGATGTCATGTACACTCGCCAACAAATATTGAGATGGTCAAAAGGAGGGAATGGGATTTGGGGACATATAGAAGGCACACAGAAGTGATAAATACACACCAAAGTCTAGCCAGAGACGTAGGTTTGAGGTAGGCTTTTATGAACACAGCAGAGAAACTTCGGGTTCTTAACCCTTTAATGCTCAGTGGTGGCTACACGTAAAATTTGCTCTGACATATGAAAACTCTCCATTCTGACAGCAGTGTGTATTTGTCTGCTTCATATGGTTCTCACAGCAAACAGCGACTGCTTCCCTGCATAGCATTAACCGGTTTGTCTTTTTAGCAGAGACGCAAATATATTTCCTGTGACGTACTAACAGAACTCTTGGTATATTATTTCGAAGAAATTCAGTCCTTAATGGGTTAAACGCACCTGAATTCGACGATTACACGAGCAACTTCTAGCTTCTCAAGACGGACTTCGACAATAGAGTCTGATAGTTAAACGTCAACTTAGCTCGTGAGTGCAGTAAATGCCAAAGTTCGCTTCCCCGTATATGGGAACATGAAGATACAGTATCCCAGCATGATAGATCATTCAATAAACAAGTGGACCGCCTATGTGTTAGAGGAGATGTATGCGACGGTTGCGTCATCTCATGTAACTTCAATTTCTGCTTATTTACAGAACACACTTCACGGGAATCCTTGAGAAGCTGGAAGTAGCCACGTTAATTATGACATTCAAACCATTTCTTGGAAGACAAAGATTTACTGGACTGCTCAGAGAGTCCGCCATGGGCCCTACCCTTAGCCAGATGAATCCAATCTACATTTTCACATACTGTTTTGCTGAGATACTCGTATATTATTATTTCTTCATGTACGCCCAGGTCTCCCAAGTGTACCTCCCTTCATGATCCTCAGATAAAACTTTGTATGTATTTGTCATCTCTCACATGCGTGATCCGTACCCGACCCACCACATTCCCCCTTGATGTCATGGAAATAATCCAATTCAATTCAGTTCTTTATTATTTACGTGCCTAACCAAAAGCTACAAGGCCAACTACAGGCACAGCACAGTGTAGATATAGGAAATTACACTATGGACAAACACAACATAAAATAGAAGACAAATTACAACAAGCACTGGACGAAAACCGTATAAATGCAGAAAAAGTAAATAAAGACGAGAAGTAACAAGAACATGATAAATGAGAACTGTATAATAGAGAATATTAGGATTATAAACAAATAATATTAAAAATTTTAGGTAATGATTATAAATCTGATTGACAGAAACTGTTCCGATTGCAAATATGTCGAGATCTTTACCAACCGCGTTGGCAGCGCAGGCGCACCGAGCAGAAGAACAGTATTTATTAGAGGGACAAACACCAAACAATGAGAAGTTCCTAAGATTGCTGGGAGGAACACGAAGGCTAACATTTTCCAAAAGGGAAGCGCAGAATTTAAGGCCACAAGAGATCTTAACAAAAAAAAAAAAGAAGATGATGATGATGATGATAAGTGAACAGTTTAAATCGTGAAGATCCTGTTTATGTGCTTTTCTCCGGCCTCCTCTTACCGCTTCTCTCCAAAGGTCAAATATTTTCCTCGGTTCCCTGTTCTCAAATATCTTAGTATGTTGTTATCTTACGGAGACATACCAAATTTCGCACCCTTACAAAGGTGTAGCCAGGAGGCAGGGGGAGGTCAGACGAGCTCTGGGATGGTCGGCCGAGAAGTCGGGATTCGATTCTCGGCAGGGACAAGAGATTTGTCCCTCCTCTAAACCGTCCACACCGACTCTGAAGCCCATCCAAACTCCTATTCAATGCGTACCAGGGACACTTTCCCCGGGATTAAAGCGGTTGGAACTTGAAACTGACCACTCACATCCATCTATTATCAAGGTTAAGAATGCGCTGATTTATACATCTCCATTCAGGCACAATAGATCACTGTGGTCACGGGGCAAGGGCCAAAAAGTCCCACTCTTTATACATTCATTCATACATCCCCATGCATTTTCATGTTTACGTTTCCTTGGTAAGATAAAGAAGTAAAGTTTGAATAAAATTCTGCCTTTTATCAATAACCCCCTGTACCGCGTACATGCAAAACTACAGAGATTATCCGCAGGCTCACTGTAGTAACTGTCTCTATTAGTCAGACAACTTGTTAACTGTACAACCTCTTCAACAGGCAACCAAGTCTGAATAACGTGGAGTTATCCATTTCTTGATTACCGAGGGAGCCAAACACGCCCGTATTTGCCGTCAGATAAAGCCGGTTAATGGCAAACACTGCAACGGAGAACATCTGTGCACAACTGCCAGCAGATATTCGTAATGGGAGGGGATTCACATGAGAATAATCCCAGAACATGTCGACTACGTGAGGTCATTTCAAGTGCAATTGTTGCTGCATTGTACTGCACATAGCACATCAAAACAAGTGTTGGACAAATAGTTCTCATTATATACCCTTGTAACTTTCACTTTTATCAGCAATTAAAGGGGGCAGTGAGAGGTCAATGGTTCCATTCGAACGTATATACGAGGGCCAGGATCTCTTTTTAAGAAGGAAATAACCAACTAGGAATACGTAGATGCACGTGGGAGAATAATATTCTGACGCACATGACCATTGCTAGACAACGGCTCGGTAAACAGTTCTGGAGTTACACTTTCAACAACAGGATATCCATTGCTAGGTAACAGGCTAATAAACACTCATTCTAGGACAACAATAGAGAATAGTTTTCCGTGGGGTCCGTGTCGAAGAATTGAGAGTCGAATACCGAAGCTGGCAGTTGTAGTTGTGTGAGGACAACGGAGAAGTAGAACAAGAATGGAGCATGTTCTAATGATTTGCGAAGTGGCGCTACACTTGATTATGATTAAGAGTAATTGTAAAACAAGGTGTTAATAAATCCAATCATCCAATCCAGAACCCCGGACTCGTGACAATATTAAGATATATCCTAGAGAAATAGGTTGGGAAGGTGCGGAGTAGATTGATGTAACTCAGGATAGGGACCAGCGGAGCGCTCCTGTTAACACTGTAGTAAACCTTCGGGTTCCTCAATAAGATGGGAAAGTCGTGAGTAGAAGAGGGACTGTGTGGCTTCTCGAGGGCTCGGCTTCAGAGTTAGTTACGTACGTACGTAGTTAGTTAGGGTCATGGCCGCGCCATAGTTCTAGTAGTTAGTCGCTGGCTTCGAGATCCCGGGTCTGGTCAAGTGGGATTTGTGGTGGACAAAGTGGTGCTGGGGCAGGTTTTCTCCGAGTACTTGGGTTTCCCCTTCCAATCTTCATTCCACCAATTGCTCCACAATCACGCTCACATGTCATCTGGGGCTGGTACAATAGGCCAGAAGTGGCCGCACTACAAGGGACTTAGTCCCACCCCACTAGCAATAAAAAGAATAGGGTCATAACTTTCTTTCAGTAGTAGCCATCTCCTTTCGAAGAGAATGGTCTCTACCGACACACAGGATTATAGGTTTACAGAGTAACGCAAATTTATTTGGAATAAATCAAATTTCACACATCTTCGTCGCTGTTCATTTGTTTTCTAATCGAATTTACATTTAATACAATACCATTATTTTGCAAAATTTGAGGTTTTCACCGCAATGAGTATAAAGAATGCCTTCTTCTGAGATGTGGCACCGTAGATCTTGTGTGAACCGACGTTCCGGAAGAACGTCTGAAGCCCCCTGCTCACGCTGTTTCCTCGCTCCCGGGTTTTTCTACCCTGAAGATGGAGGCGATACGTTCATCCGAAACGTCGGTTCACACAAGATCTACACGGCTCCACATCCCACAAGACGACATTCTTCGCCATTAAATTGCTTTAAAGGCAAATGAGTTTCTTAGACGAATACTGTCATGACATGTCTTGAGTTCAATGCAATTTATATGTAGGCCATGGTTTGCTATTTGAGAGTATGAACTGATTCCCATTGTAGTTGTAGTAGTAATCACAATTAAGGCAAAATTTTGTGCGTATCGAACACCAGTCTTCAGACATTTCATTTCGGATTCACACTTAGCTTATCTAAAAGTGGAAGGGTGTCAACACAACAAATCGGATACTTAAAATTATTATCTTTCTACAGCTTTAATAATTTTGACATGACGAGATGAACAAACAAAACAGACTGAAAAGGATAAGGAGAAGAAGACGGAGAAACATTAAAATAGGAAGGGTAAAGAAGAGGGAAAGGAATAACAGAAACCAACAAACACACAAAAGAATGGGAAGATGCACGAAGAAAAAAAAAATAAAATGAATAAGAGGAGATAATATTATTATTATTATTATTGCTAGTGGGGTAGGACTAAGTCCCTTGTAGTGCGGCCACATCTGGCCTATTGTACCAGCCCCCGCAGATGATAGGTGAGGGTGATTGTGGAGCAATTGGTGGAATGAAGATTGGCAGGGGAAACCGAAGTACTCGGAGAAAACCTGCCCCGTCGCCACTTTGTCCACCACAAATCCCACTTGACCAGACCTGGGATCGAACCCGGGCCGCCGCCGTGGGAAGCCAGCGACTAGCCGCTTGAGCTATGGCGCGGCCAGAGAAGGAGCTAAGTAATACATTTGTATGTATAGTTAGGAAAGCATCGCTTGCCAACAGAACTGTTAAAGCTTCATAGTTATGCATGAAAGGGTTAAGAAGGTATCGTTATATGAGCCAAGAAACAATTAACTGGAATTCAGGGAAATAAGCAATTCTAAATAGAATTCGGGCATTTCTCCTGTACCATTATTTCCCCATCTGCTCGACGTCACTGCGACACGAAATAAGCCGATCTGTCGGGGAGCTGACTGATTGCTATGGTGGGGCGGGAACAATTCCAGTGATATAATCATTTCACTTGATGACGTGTTAAGGACACCATGTCAACGCAGAACGAAAAGAACTCATTCCAGGAGACACCACTCGC